CCTCAGAATTATGAAACCAATGAATAGAATAGTCCCAAGAGCTTTTTTTGGACCGTGTCTGTCCAGATTTTATTTTCCTGACCCCACCAAAGGAGGATAATAACTTGTTTAAGAGACTCTTCCCTTGACTTTTGTGGTAGATCTCAACAATTCTAAGAGTGGAAAGATGGATTAAAATATAACCACTAAATAAAGGCTTTGAGACTTTTAAAATTAAATCGTGTGCTTACAGTTTTCCTAGAAACCACAAAAGAGCAGTCACTAAGGTGGTCTTAAGAGATTTAAAGACATGAATATGAATGATAGGAAGTCTCAGCTACTACTTAGATTGTGATTAGGACATCAAGGAATGACAGAATTTCTATAATATTTTTTCTTTAACTTTCTCATTTTGAATTCTGAGGCTAAATATGTTATTATACAATGTATTTGGTTTTATAACAAGATATAGGCCTAAGAGTGTTGGCTTTGAATTAGTCAGTTTAATTTTGAAGTGGATAATTCTTCAAGGAATGTTAACCTCAAGGATCTCTCTGTGTCAGTCAGGGAGTTAGCAGGAAAGCAGAGAATTGTAAGTACAAGGCCAGTGGGTTCCACTGGTGTGGAGCTGTTAGCATCTGAGAAATCTAAAGCTCCGTCTGTCTTCTAAAGACACAATCACTTGGAAAATGGAAAAGTTTAGTCTTTACTTTAAAAAAAATCTATTTAAAAGAATCTTTACTATGACAAATTCGTTTGATTCACTTTTTTTCTTTTATAGTTTATTATCAAGCTGGTTTCCAAGTCTGATTCACTTTTTAATCAAACTGGTTGCTCACACACATTAAAACACCTGAAATCCTTTGTGTATTCATAAGCGTAGCCCTGGAGGGAGGGTGCATTTTAGTCACTTTGCTCAGAGAGCGTTTCCAGAGTGTGCACTCTGGGTCAAGCACTTTGACAGGTGCACAGAATCCGGAGGTGTGTGTAAGACAAGCTCCTGTTACATCACAGGACAAGAAATGCTCGGATGGGTGCCATTAGAGCTAGAAGAAGAGCTTCTGGTTTGAGTTGGGAATCCAGTCAAGGGAGTCTTTATATGAGAAAGAACCAGAAAAGGACATGGCAGACATGGAATCATGGTTAAGAGTATGAGTGGGGCATGCAGCAAGGAGTGGAGGAAAATAGCCCCAAATGAACCTGTCTGCTGCTTATTCATGTATGATTTTTTTGTGCTATTTATCATCAGTTCTAAATTTCAATAAAAATATGTTGCTTTTTAAATGGCTTTAAAGATGCTTTGTTAAGTTCTTAATGCTTATAGGGTACCCGAGAATTTACGCAGGTCTTAAGACAATATAAAATCCTTTATTGCACTTTTAAATGGTGACATATAAGTTCATTGACGAAAACAGTCTAGTTTTAGCTATAAGTGGAATTCAAATCCACTTCTCTAAAAGAACTTTCTGAGATAAACACTCATATAAAACATTCTCTTAAACAGCTCCCACTGTTTATAATGTGATTTGATGCTCCATTGAAATTTCCATAGAAAGCATCATATACTTCCTAGCTCAAACCTTTTCAGACTAAAGGCACTGATTTTCTCATGAGTCAGAGGATCATGCTGATGGATGAAACTGGGGAAGTACTGACATTTGGATGGATGGTTGGCCATTTTATTCCTCTCAACATCAAGGTCATGCCAGTGTGTTTTGCAATCACAAAATGCCTCCTGACTAGATGATGATTTAAGAAGTTAATCTTAGCTGGTTTGTCTAGTTGAGCATTTCTGTCCGATGTAAACAGGAAAATTTATACAAATCTCCATGTATTTTCAAAGTATTTTGCCCATGTACTGTTAACAGATTATCTCAAGAACACTATCATCTTTTCCAATCCTTTTTCTTTTCCTTTCTAACTCTCCTGGAGACTTTGTAGTTTAGTTCAGTTTATTTAGTTGTTCTTCTATCGTAAACCTTGTGGGAGTGGGGGTGGGAGTGTCAGAGATAAGTTTAAATTGGCCATCTGTGTTTTTGTAAATCTCAAGGGATTGCTGTCAAGTCCCCTGGTCTGTGGGGCAAGAAATTCTTCCTTCTAGCTCTGGTCTTTTCCTTGGTCAATAGGAAATCAGTTGCTTTAAGACCAACGTCCCTCTGGTCAAGTTGTAGGCCATCTGCTTGGACATATGTTCCCTCTTTGATCTTTAAACAATTAATTTATTCTCTGTAGCCTCTGGTGCCTGGACCACCAGCTCTGCCAGGAGATCCCACTGGATTCTCCCTGCATCTCTGGGAAACATGAAGACAGGTTTCCTGTGAGCTTCTCTTTTAGGGACAGATATTTTAATGAACCTGATTGGAGAATTCCAGCCTATTTGTGAACAGAACCTGATGGTGTTAATGTTTCTTCTCTGGGGGTCTGCATTGTAGATTCGTTCCTAGCTAGCCCCTTCTCTTAATGCTATCATATGGACTCCTATTCTGGTCCAGGGTGGAAATTGTCATTTCTGCTTTATTCTTTTATTGTTATGATTATGATAAAATTTACATAACAAAATACACCACTTGAACCATTTTTGAGTGCACAGTTCAGCGGCATTTAGAATATTCATACTGTTGTATAACCATCACCACCATCCATCTCCACAACTTTTTCATCTTCTCAAACTGAAACATTGTACCCATTAAACAGTGACTGCCTATAACCCCTCCCCCAACCCCTGGCAACCACCGACCTATTTTCTGTCTCTATGAATTTAACTAATAGACACCTTATATAAGTGGAACCCTACAATATTTGTCCCTTTGTATCTGGCTTATTTCATTTAGTATACCATCTTCAAAGTTCATTCATGTTGTAGCTTGTGTCAGAGTTTACTTCCTTTTTAGGGCTAAACAATATTCCATTGCAGGTATATACTGTATGTCACATTTTGTTTATGAACTCCTGGGTTGTTTCCACCTTTTGGCTATTGTGAATAAGGGTACTGTGGATATAGGTCTACAAATATCTTTTTAAGTCCCTGCTTTCACTTGTTTGGGATATATGTCCATAAGTGGAATTGTTGGGCCATATGGTAATTTTATGTTTAATTTTTTCAGGACTTCCCATACTGTTTTCCACATTCTCGATACCTGTCATAGTTGCATGATGGTGTTTATGACTGTAGAGGGTGAGATTAGGGATGAAATTGACTGAGGGACCTCTGCCTACTCTTTCAGGGATCTTTTTTGTTTAGAACCTTTTTTTAAAAATTGATGAATGATACTAGGGGAGAAAATTCTCTTTTACCTCATGGTAAGGAATTTCTGGAAGAATGAAAGTGGCTCTGTCAACACTGAGAATTGTGAGAATTGAGATTTTTGTGCCTGATGTGACAAGGACCTCTGGGTAGCAGAATTAAACAACACACCCTGTTCTAACTCCTGCGAGGTTAATGAGGCACCCCAAGAAACAAAAGAGCCGCAAGCTTTCCTACTGTGAACTTCTCAGGTACAGCATGTCCATACGGTGAGACCCAAGTTTGGCCCTCAAATGCAGCAGTGAGGCTAGATTTGGGGACAGGGCTCCCAGAAGCATGAGTCTGGTGAGTGAACTCCCTGATCCTCACATCCCAGGAGATACCACAGAGACTGCCTCACCCAGCTCTCCGCCTGAGGCAACAGACCTCCTCCCGCCCCTGCCCAATAGGTTACAGGTTGATTCCTGCCTCACACACAGAAAAACTAAGTGCCCAAAGAACACTCCAATTCTCTAGAACTTTCCAAGTTGTTAACTTATGTCAGCTACTCTAATAGGAATTGTGTGGTGATATTCAAGAATAGTGTCCATGCTCAAACTACAACCCAATTAGCTTAGCTGTTAGTCCATCGAAAACAGGCTTGTCTCACATTTGGTTGCATGAGAGGATGCCATTCCCACTCTAGACTTGGCCTCTTCACAGGCATCTAACAGCCTCACTTGGGGCTTGAACTCACTTCAGTTCAGCCCTCAGGAAAAACTTGTTTAGAGTAGCAGAATTAGAGAGGATTATCTAAAGGAATACGCAGTCCTTCTGTTCTTCTTAGAAAACTCCCGACACTTATCTATCCCTAGATTAAGCCAGACCACCAAAAAAAGGAATTCCTGGCTGACATCATCCTGACCCCTTATGGAACAGCTTTTACTATCTTCTGCTCAGGGCCAGCCTCCTTTGAGTAATGTTAGCACTCAGCCCTGCAAAACTCCTTGTTGTACAGCTGATGTCTTCAGTCATCCACAAAGCATGGTACCTATTGTGTATGAAGCCCTATAAGAGAAACAGTTCCCAGACCTTGTACCAGGAGCAGGCTTTCTCCTCTGGGCAGTTGGTTTGTTGTGAGGCTGTGCACACATACATGAGCCACCTCTCTGGTCATGGAGTGAGGAAGCTGAGAGACAGAGCAGCATCCTACTTCTAGCCCAGGCACGGAACTCAGGCTAGGCTTTGCATGGTAATCTCATGCCTGTCTTTGCCTTATTTTGTAAGCTCTTATTTTTCTTTTTTCTCGTTGCCTCACTTACCTTCTAGGTTGTTGAATTATCTGAATTTTTGCAAGCTATTCAGACCCTTTACAGAATAAAATATAAACATGAATCAGGTATTCTCAGTTGCTTTGAATGTTCAGAAGATAAAGTGTATATAAATTACTAGTTTTCAGAAGAACTAGAATATACTTCATTTAGTTAGCATTAAAACCGTGACTATTCAGAATACGACGAAATTCTAAGTTCTGTGCCCTTAGAGGCCTTAGCTATCTTGTTCAGTCTATATATCCACTTGCTAGTGCTGTGCTTAGCATGTAGTAGTTGCTCAGTAAACATTGCCTGTAAGGTTTGAACAAACAAGATCTATCTGCACTTAAAGCTTATCAACCTCGTGGTCTGTAGATACTAAGAAGCAAAGAGAAGCTGTGTCACTCTGGCATTTCCTCCACCCTTGTTACATATGCGAGGACACAGCTGGCACTTCTAACGCTCTCCTGTCTCCCTCTCTGCAGACTCACATTTCAAGACTCCCTCCCGGTGCAGTGGCAGGACAGTCCGTGGCAATCGAAGGTGGGGTTTGCCGCCTGGAGAGCCCGGTGAACTGACCCTCCAGGCTGAGCATGAAGCATCTGAGAGGCATTTCAGAACCTGAGCTTTTCGGGGTTTTTAACTGAACTTGGATGTTTTATCTTCACCATTTTATAATTCCTGTTGCAGCCTCGTGCACCGCTCACGACACTAGTGCTGCCGCGGTTAGCGCTTAGTGACCTATGCGGGTGTTCGGTGGGTGACGGGACTGAGTGAGCACGTGTATGTGCGTGTGTATGTGTGTGTGTGTGCAGTGAGTGTGCTTGCTTCTCCCTTGATGAAATAGAAACTCCTTACTGTGTAACCTAAGATTGGGAATGACTAAATCATCTTCACAAAATGTGTGCTTTACTGTTTACAAGTAAACCCTAGCGTTGCAGGAAACATTTTTGATTTCATAAAGAGGTACCAGCTGTTGTTGATGTAATGTGTCTGAACTGAAGGTAAATCTACTTGTTTAAATGATTTGACAGTGGTAGTGCTCCATTTAATAACAGTAATAAGTGATACGGTGTTTTATTTGTTAACCAGTTTAAGTGGATCCTGTGGTTACTTAAACTGTTATTCTCATCCCTCATATGGGGCATTTTTCTTTAACAAAGAATGGTTTCAGTGAAACAATCTAGCAGAGAATTAAGGTCAGAACCTTTTTAAATAATAGTCTTATTGATAAAGTTTGTACTTCCTTCCTCAAGCTTTTCTAAGCTTAAATACTGCATATCTTCAAGCTATATGTACTATATTATGAAAGAATATGTAAAGAGAACATACAGTAATGCACAGTCCTTAATTTGTGTATAATGGAATGTTATTTACAATGTAACACTGTAAATAAGAAAGCAAAATTTATGGGAAAATTCAATATTATCTTTGTTTCTTGTTTAAATATATTTTTAAGATAAAGGCACAAAAATAAAAGAAGCATATTACTGGGTACAGCGTGTGACTCCTCTTCTCAGACTAATAAATTATCTTTTGAATCCTAGATTGGAGACCCACTTTTTATTTTGTTTGTAAAAAGTTGCTTCTTCCAGAAATCATCCCTTCTGACAATTCAAAACCCTTCTTTGTGCAGTTAGGCCTGGACACTAACAAGATGAAAGTTGAACTTAGTTCATGATTGAATGGCCAGTATCAAAATCTCTGAAATTTTCATTGCAAGTTGATAAAAACTAACAAAGGGAAGGAATAAGACCACTTTGGTTTGAAAAGCTGTAGTGCCAGCTGAAAACTCAATGGTTTCAGCTGATAAATTGCTTCTAAATGTTATATTTAGTGATTCTGGAGCCACATAAGAAAACCAAGACTTTCCTTTTGATTTTATGTGTAAGAAGTGGCTATCAAGAAGATACTAAAGATAGACTCACTCAGGGAGAGGAAGTTCCTTGCACCATATAATCATGGCTCTGGGCGGTAACTGATAAAGCCCCAGATGAAATTATATACTTGACATCGATGTATGGCCAAATTATAAAGGAAAGACAACCAAAACGGAGTGGGTGTAAATATGAATGATTTGGGAGTTGCTGATTTATATTCCTTGTACAGGCAATTACATTTGTCTCGCTGTGTTCTCGTAGACAGGTTGGTGCCATGATATCTGTTTCTCATTCTTAATGAGGCTGAGAACTTAGTAAGTGATGGGCTGGCTGGTGGGGAGCCCTTGGCTTCAAAAGCTTTCAAAGACCTGTTACCTGTTGGCAGGGTTTTTTTGAGGAACTGGACTGGATCACATAAAACTATCAGGACACTTTGGAGTCTGAAAATCATCTGACCTATTTCACCAGGAATGCCATTTCTTTTCATCTTCTCTTGACTTTATTCTACTCATATTTAAAAGTTTGGGCTTGTTAAAGACCCTTTTATGAAGAGTTTAAAAACTGGTCAGTATAAAAGAACACAGTCCCCCCAAGTACAGTTTGTTAAAGCTTCATTCTCCAATTTCTTTTTTAAAAATTTTTTAAATTTAAGGAATATTGTCAAACCAGGAGGGAAAAAAAGTGATATTCAGAATCATGGAGGTACAAACATAATGGGCAGTATAAGTTCCTTAGTGATAAGATCAGGTATTAAAGAGCAGATACCAGAACCAGAGGACATTGACAGATATAAAATCAACCTCATTTTGTACAAAAGTAGAAAGGATCAAAAGAAACAGATAAGAAAATAACTTCATTCCCTAGTCTGGTTTATATCACCAAGATTCTGAAGCAGTATTTTAACATGGATGAACTTTACTGTCTGCTATATTCCATTTCTTTTTAAGAGCTGATCATTGGATGCTTGGTGCTCTTGAGTACAAGTAAGCCTGGGCTGGATTCCTCAAGGCCATCACTGCGATGCTGCTCTGGGTTTGGAAATGGGAGCCTTCTGGAAGCGGCGAGGAGGTGGAGGCCATGTGCTCTACCTTAATGAGCCTGGGGTATCCGTGCTCTCTGATGAGGCATGAAGGCCTTGACCAGGCCTATCCCCTCGCTTGTTGGCTCTGCCTCTCCTCCCTGCCTCCTGTGCTTCTGCCTAGGGCAGGCCCTTTCTCACTTTTTCACTGCTGCTTCTAAACAGGAAGTTGAATTCCGATATCGATGTCTGTTAGAATTGTGTACCAAGTATGTATAAATACGTACTAAGTGCTAGTCTCTGGTGCTTTTCTGTGACCAAAATTGGATGAGTTGTAGTATATGGCTATAGGGACCTCTCTTTTGGCTGTTCAAAAGTCTTTTTTGCCTAATTCCTCACTTTCTTCCGTGTTTGAGAGGTGGTGATGTTACATTGTAGTTACCAGCAAATATGCAAGGTTAGGCTGTTTTCAAGCACTGGTATGAAGGAGAGGGAGGAAAGGACGTTGTGAAGAAAGGAAGATTTAGAAAAGTGCCGAAATTATTCTTGAATCTTGAGATTGTATTAAATTGTCGATTTTTTATTTTTTTAATTTTATCTTATTTTTAATGTTTTATTTATTTGTCAGAGAGAGACAGAGACAGCGTGAGCAGGGGAGGGTCACAGAGAGAGGGAGATACAGAATCTGAAGCAGGCTCCAGGCTCTGAGCTGGCTGTCAGCACGGAGCCCGACGCGGGGCTTGAACCCATAAACTGTGAGATCATGACCTGAGCCGAAGTCGGATGCTTAACCAACTGAGCCACCCAGGCACCCCTATTGTTGATTTTTTAAATGTGTGTTTATTTTTGAGAGAGAGATAGAGTGCACGAGGGGGTGGGAAGGCAGAGAGAGGGAGAGACAGAGAATCCAAAGAAGGCTCCTCACTGCCAGTGCAGACCCCTATGTGGAACTCAAACTCACAAAGTGATATGATCTGAGGCAAAGTCAAGAGTCCAATGCTTAACTGACTGAGACACCCAGGCACCCCTGTGGGTTTTTTTTTTATCTTGTCATTATTATTATAAAAGCAATTCACGCTCATTACAAAAAAATCAGAAAATAGATACGAAAGCAAACAAAACAAAACAAAACAAAAAAAAAACCCCTCATAGCCCCACGTCCCTAGAGACAACAGTTAACACTTTATCTTATACCCTTATAGACTTTTTATTCATACATTTTCTGTGTTTTTAACAACAAAGTGGGTTTATATAACCTGCCATTTTCACTTAATAATATCATAGAAAGATGTCCAAACTTAAAAGAATTACCTCATTTATTACTGGTTCAGCTAATTGTTGTTCAGTGCATATATTTTATTCTAAGGCTTCTGTAGAAATCCATCACAGTACTCACAGACTAACAGTATAGTCAGCATCTACTTCTTCAGGGCACAGGCCCCCACAATTAGCACCGTGGTAAAGTCTTATTCGCCAATGAAAGCCAGTCCAGGAGGTGTCCTAGAGCAGATCATTGTCAGTGCCCATTGATTCTCCATTGCAGAGTGCCCCCAGACAGCATGTAAAAGCTAGTGTTTGCACCTCTATGCCTCAGGGCTTCTTCTGGAACCATAGAAAGCTGCACTATCCCTGCACACAGCAGACCAGAAATGTTAGAGAATCGTCATGCCCCAGAAGCAGCTCTCACAAGTGATGAATAGAAGTTGTATAAGTATGCTAGTCCCCTTGGTTCTTGGGTGGTCTAAGTCTGGGGTGTGGGTTTCACACTGTGTTTGAGAGATTTTCCATAGAAATTAAGCTTCAGTTGCCCCACTGTGGGACAACTGAACAGTGGCAGCTGACTTATTAATACACCTTGTGCTGGCTTTTTCCCCTTCCTTATACCTTAGCTCCCCTATTTTGTGTTTTATGGGGTCATCTCCCAGATGAACTGTTTGTACTTGCCACCCTGTCTCCCAGGCTTGCTTCTTGGAGACATGAAACTAAGAAACATTCCATTCTACATACTTTTGGCTAGGAGACCTTGATGGGCTCTTATACCCTCTTTGGCTGAGAGGATGAACTCACCAGTCTATTTGTGCTTTGCACTGGAGTCTCTTCCTGCCTTATGCTCCCGATCAACCATTTTCATCCATAATATCGGACTGAACATTCTTCAAGCGGTGAGGCTGGATATTCCATAAAAGCAGAAGGAGGGGAGCATGGGAGCTCAATTGATTAAGCACCAACTTTGGCTCAAGTCATTATCTCATGGTTCATGAGTTTGAACCCCATGTCAGGCTCTGTGCTGACAGCTCTGGAGCCTAGAGCCTGCTTGGGATTCTGTGTCTCCATCTCTCTCTGTCCCTCCCCTGCTCATACCCTCTCTCTCTCTCTCTCTCTCTCTCTCTCTCTCTCAAAAATAAATAAAACATTTAAAAAAAATTTTTTTAAGTGGAAGAATTTCACAGCTAAGTCAGTGATGACAAGCACCAGATAGCTGAAGACAAGTGAATACTTTTAAGAAGATGGGGAATAAACAAGCTAAATAGCAGCAGTCAGTCAAGGATTGAGAGACTCCTTAAGAGAAAGAAACTGGAATTGTGTTAATGGGACTTGGAAGAGACCCTAGCCAAAGGTGTCTTATGAAGTTAAGAGATTTGAAGAGACCAATACAATGGTAGCCAGGTCCCCATGTCATGAACACATCTCCACCATGACCATGCATAACAACTTCATATGGCACCCACTTTCAGAATGCCATCTCTCGAGCCTAGATATCTTCAACATAGTTTTGTGGTTGAATTTTTAAAAAATGCCTCCCAACAGTTTTCTTAAAATGTTTATTAACTTTTAATGTTTAACTAAAATGTTTATTAAAATCAACTATTTCTTCTGACATAAACCCTACAATTGCTCAACTTTGTGAAGCCGTTTGTGCCATGAAGTCCAGGCTCCTTTCCAATTTAAGGTTGCCATGGTTAGTCATGGAGTGAAGGACCAAAAGGGAACCAAAAGGAGACTATGCCTCCCTCCCCGGAACGCTAGCCAAAGAAAAGGTTGAGCCCAGAAAAAATGAGCACTTGTGAATAAGATTAATTTGTTTCACTTTAGCTACAGCCTAAACCTTCCCCAAATGCTAATTAAGCAGGGAACGGAGATGTGGATGTGTAAACTGGTGGGCTATACAGGTAGGAGTGAGTGAATGGGAGGTTGACAGCATTAGAGTAATCCTTTAACACTAATATTTGCTGTGGGACATTAGGAATTCTTAATGAATAGACTGCTTTTCCCCAACACTTAATCTGGGTTCAAGTTCATAAGGGATTAGCCCAGATGCCTATCTTCAGAGACATACAAGCTGACCAGATTAACCAGGCAGTCTTTCTTTGCGCACACACTGCTGTCTCTGAAGTGTATGGCCACAGGAAGGGTTAAATCTAAAACTGGCAAGAGCCTCCCTCCAAGGTTGTTCTCCTGACTTCCAGAAGCCCATCAGCCAAGCCGGAGGTGGTTCACTGTGACCCGTTGTGGAAGGG